ACCCCCTCGGACGGCTCGAGAACCCACCTATAATTCTAGTTTAGATTTTACTCCAATCCACATATCCATGATTTTAAAATAAAAGTTATAATATAACGTTGACTTCCGGGTCAAGCGTTTCCACCGAAAAGCCGGTTTTTATTCAGTTTTGAATCACGATTTCGAAATTATGCAACTTTGTTTAATCGCGATACCCAAATTGTAGCCCCGATACCAGTCTTAGTAAAACAAAATGTGTCCTTATTTTGTTCACTGACGAAATATAGGACTCTTCTTTAGAATATTAGTACTATAGTTGTACTCAAACTTCCTTTGCTTTGTTATTAAGAAATATTTTTCATCAATGCCAGAAATCTAAATTGTCACAATATCTAATTGGCAGAGACGCAAAGGTTTTTTTGTTTAGGTAAACGAGTTTTCTAAGTTGTTTTATATTTTCTATTGTTGTTTTATTTACGGCAAAAGAGAATGAATAAGTAAAAAAAGTTTGAGTTTTGTGGCACTTGCAACACATTTTATATATTATGATGACTAAGAGCACCACTGATGTCAATAACGTAAATTGACTGATCAAACATTAGCTCGCAGGATGTGAATTACTCAAGTGGAATGAATGACGTAAGGTTTTTGTTTTGTTATAACGTTCATTACTAATTTTACAGCTCTTAAAACGTAAATATGTTGTATTGTAATGTATTACTGCTCAATGTTAGAGGTGCAGCTATAGAGTAATATACTCTGTTACATTTTAAAGTATACATATTTTGAAGCTCAGATTTTTAAAAAAATATCTAGCTATCTATGTTACCAAAAACTTTCAAATGTACACGCTGACTACGTGATATACCTGTCGCTGGTGAGCTGTTTTCAGATTTCTGAACGCGTGAGTGGTTTGGTTACTGCATGCGTGTTACATGTTTCGTGGTTTTTTTAGAATGACTCATGACACGGCAATGCTTTGTTTTAAAAAGAAGTACACATCAAAGCTTTGTCATTTTTGTAATAATTCGCCAGGGATAAAAAACTTGTGTTGTCCAAGTTTCAAGACGCCACGCCTAGGAGAAAATGTACGAAATCTGCTTGTTGGAATGATCCGCGGGGGTGTCTCAGTATCCACTGTTGCGAGACATTTTAATGTAACAAAAAGAAATGTGTAAGCAACAATGGGTCGTGAGAGAACAACAAAATGAGAAAACCACTAGACTATCAACGTCTCGTAGGAAGAGACGAAGGAGGAGGCATAAGGATGATAGGAAAGAAGGAGCAAAACCAAAGAAGAGCACCCGTCAACCACCCACGGGGAACAATGACACAGTATGAGAGTCTGTTTGTTGATAGAGTCTTCCTGTTGTCGACAGATTCCTTCTCTTTTGGCAGTACGTTCGGCTGGGAGTATGTACAAGTTACCATCATTGTTATCATGAACTATTAGTTTTAAGCTAGAAGCTTGGGTTTTCAATCTCAACGATATTCAGAGAAAAACTCAGATCTGATATGGTGAAACCCCCGAAATCTGGGTTAGCCCGCTTGTTCTTAAAAGCGACAAATTGTATGTACGTCAAGAGTTTGAGCTTTGTCTTCTGTACAGATGGCGCACATGGACGTACTCGTGGCGTGCTGTTTGCCAAAAGTTTGTGTTCATTTGTGTCGTCATCGACAGTAATTCCGTAGCAAGAAATATCAGACGTAGGCTCATGGCACAGATCCTTGACTTCACACTGTTCCTCGTGATATATCTATATAAAAGTAAAAGCGAAAGACAAAGAAACCAAACAAAACACAACCAAACTTAGACGAATAACAAATAGTGAGCCTTTGCACAGAAAATCTGCATTCCACAGAGATTTCTTTCACAAGGTTTGTAAGATTTTGCACCATTTGACTGTCTGAATACGAAGTGGGCACATTGTTACGTCAGTCATAAGCAGACTAAAAAGGCAGTGTAGCATCACGTTACACACACAGACCACAGGGCAACATTTCAGCACATTTCCAAACACCATACACAAATCAGAATCATGCTATGTTGCAGCACATCCGAACCCACATACATACACACACCAAAAACACAAACGTCCACATTTCATAGTATACAAATTACTGCACGCCTTTTAAAGTCTCAGTTACGGAGAGCAGAATTTTTAAAAAACAACAACAACAGTATGAATGACAAAGTTATCGTATTGCTCATAAGACAATCCCCTAAGTCATTTTTAGCCGGTTTCGAGTTTTTGGTTCTGAAATAAAGAACAGAGCCAGCTTGGTAATGGAGCTCACTTGGACAGACCAAAGAATAATCCAGATATAAAATCACTGAATGTATCAAAATTCACAAAGTCAATTGCTCGAAAGAAACAGTTCTTCTTATTTGCTCAAAATGGCTAAATAATGACTAGATCTAAGAAACTTATCATATGAACGACAAAGTTATCAAGTTTTGCTCCTTGCCAATTGTTCGAAAGAGACTGGGTTTTTTTCATTTTCTCTAAATGGCAACAAAAAAAAAGACTTAGATCTAGCCATTAATCTCATGAACGACAAAGTTGTGCTCCTTGTTGCACGAGACACAACACCGCGAGAAAGTCTCCAAGAGTTGTGCAAGGAACAGAACAGAATGTGCGCGTGTCCTCAGTGAGCTCATGTGT